TAAGATTAATCATCTTTCCGATGGGCTCGAGTGTCTTGAACTTACAACTTTGTTCTTGCAGAAGAATGAGACCTTGGTAAGTATCTCGGATGAATTCTTCCACTCCATGCCAAGGCTAGTTGTACTGGATCTTTCAGAGAATAAACAGCTCTCTGAATTGCCGACAGGTATATCGAATCTAGTTTCCTTGCAATATCTTAACTTGTCATATACCTGTATAAATCATCTGCCTGCCGCTCTACAAGAGTTGAAAAAACTGATTCACTTGGATCTGGAGTTCACCGGACAACTCTCTAGTATTGGTGGGCTATCAAGTCTCTTGAATTTGAGAGTATTGAGATTACGAGGTTCTGGTGTTTTATGGGATCTCAACATAGTGAATGAGTTGCAAGTGTTTAAACATTTAGAAATCCTAACTATTGGATTTGGCTATCAGTCAGGTTTGGAACAATTCTTAAGCTCTCATAAGCTTACAAGTTGTACTCAAACTCTAGAGTTCAGTGGTTTTCAACTGGAGTCAAGGGGAATATCACTTCCAACAAGTATGGACAAACTTCGTCAACTCCTTTTCAGTGGTTGTGCTATTTCTGAGATAAATATTGACATGAAATGCATCAGATGTGAACCGGTTTCTCCTCTGCACAGTCCAAAAAATGTATGCTTCTTGAGCCTTTCCCATGTGCATATACGGGGTTGCCAATGGCTTAAGGAATTGACGTGGCTGATGTTTGCTCCAAATCTTACACATATAAATGTAAACTTTTCAGATCAACTAGAAGATATAATAAGCAAAGAAAAGGCTTGTGTGGTTGGAGAATCAGGGATTGTTCCTTTTCAAAAGCTGAAAATCTACGTTTGTTTAGACGACCGGAGCTGCATAGCATCTATTGGAGCCCCCTTCCCTTCCCCTGTTTGGCAACAATCGTTGTGAACGGATGTCCAAAGTTGAGAAAGCTTCCACTCAATTCTGAAAGTGGTATGGGTGGTGAAAAAGGTCTTATCATAGAATATAGAGAGAAAGAATGGATAGAAGAGGTTGAATGGGAGGACAAAGCTACCGAAACCCGTTTCTTACCTACATCCCTAAAGGTCTAATTTCTCATTTTTTCTTATGTGTTTTTAGTGGAATTTTTCAGTTTATGAACTACTTCCATAGTATTGACTACTTTTTTTTTTGCTTTTCTTTCAGTTTTTTTAAGGTTGATTCTGGTCGGTTTGTGAGGCAGCCAGGTTTGTAGTTCCTTTCGTTGTTGCACATACACACACATATATATATGTACATTTTTAATCAGACATTGTTGTGTTTGAGTTCATTGGATTGTTTTGTAAGCTTCCTTTTATTGATTAAGATGACGTTTTTTTTTGGTTCTCTTTAAACCTAAATCCTCCACAAAAAGTTAACAACTGAATCCTAACAGAATCCAGAGGTATGGAGGCCCATGAGTTTTGTGATGATTTTAAAAGGCTTAAACAGCTAATTCTTGTTTTTTTTCTTCTTTTTTCGCTTTCAGTCGAATTTTCGACTCCCGACATGTAGCCTAGTTGTTTGTACTAATCTCATTGTTGTTTCACCATCCTGTTTCAAACTCACATGATACATGTTGTTGCCAAAACATAAAAATAAATTGTGTTTCTCACTTTATATATCCAAGGAACACTTTTTCTCATTCCATATTTGGAGCAATGATCATTGATCAATGAACGAACGTTACAAACCCTAATTTCTTTTTAAAAAATGAGAAAATAATTTCATTTTCTTCTCTTCACTCACATGATGAATCAATCACACAAATGAAGTCGGACCCATTACATTACAACAATCAAAAGACCTTAAAAAGCATAAGATAAAAAAATCCCTTATTACTTCCTTATCACTTTTAAATAATCAGGTGCGAGAAGAAACACCAAGATCCTCCGCAGAATAAGGATGAATAAAAGCACTGTTCATTTGCCAAACCTTAAACGACACCGTAACGGTCGCATCAATGGCATTGTTGAACAAGAAGAGCTTTGTAGCTCCGTAAATGGCTTTTGTCGGATATACTCTAGAAGTAATACATGTTCTTCCACCTTGTCCGAATGCTTCTACTATCGAATGATCCACCTATAAAAAAAAATTGAAATTTAATAACAACATGATTAAATCAAATTCTTGTTAATAAAAAAGAATCAAATTCTTGTTGATAAAAGAATGAAATTATTGTATGTAAACTAATGAATTGTTATTTGGTTCCAAAGATATAATTTATTACCAAGATTCTCATGGTCAATTTCTCTCCTTTTAGGACCGGTACGAAGCTTCCATATACCGGTTTCACCACATCGTTTGCCTTGGTCGACCTATAAAAAGGTATTTTGATTAACCATAAATCACTATTTTGTTAAAATCCAACATTTAAGGTATGTTTCGAATAATGAATTTGCTTTTTAAAATTTTATAACTAAGGAATGCATTTAACAGAAATGAGTAATGACCTTATATTTATAATCAGAGACTAACTAGGTTTAAAATCAATTTATGGATTGATCAATTTTTGGAAGAATTATTACCTTGAAGTGTCAGTGCACAAGAAAGCTCTGAGTTTTGAATCTTTTCCCTTAGTCACATAAAAGTAAACCGGAGTTTGCTCCGACAAGCTTTGGTCGGCGAGAACCGAGAATCCGAAAGGTCCTAAAGCCCCACGTACGGTGGAGAGACCACTGGTTTGGCAGCTGAATTCCTTGTCGTCTTCCACGGAATCATCTCCAAGAATTACTTCGAGATCGTCCTTCTTGATCTTGAACTCAGCCTCTATGTCTAGCTGAGCTGCAGGACCCACATCGACCGGAACCACCGTCCCTGGTTCAACCTTCATGTGGAATTTCTTGCTGCTCAATCTCAGAGATTCGATTTCTTTAACCGGCCATTGGACTAAGTTCTTTCCTGTCTTTGTGTCCAAGACAACAGTTCTTGGGATTCCCTGATCATATTTAATTTAATTCAAACCATTAACTTTGTACACAAGTAACTAATATATCAAAACCCTAACTTTCATACCACGTTAGCTTAAGGAACCATACCTGAACGGAAGACCAGCCCTTTTGTACATCAGCTGCTTCGCTGTCAGATTCACCGATCCAACCCCACAAGATTCTCCGTCTCTTATGTTGATCGTAAAACGTCTTAGACGCATAATATTTGCCGTAATCATATCTCAAACCGGTACTGATCCCAACATCAATTTTAGGGTTATCCGGGACCCATGTTGCATTAGAATCATAGTATGTCCCAATGGCATAATGGTCAATTCTAGTATCGTCCATGCTAGCCTTCACGATATGCTTCACATCTGGTCCATTGACCGAAGTGTCAAGACCGTTGGCTTTAGTCTTCGACACCGGATAAAAGTCAACGCACTCCCACATTCCGGTGTTTGGGACTTGGTGCAACAAGGTATCGTGCTTCTCGTAGGTTTTGAAATCAGTAGTGTCGTAAACAAGAGATATTCCGGTTCTGTTGATTTTTGAACCTATTGTGATCCGCCATTTTCCGGCAGATGTCTTCCACGCCGTGGTTGGGTCACGGAAGTCCTTTGTGCCGATACCTGGAGGCGGCACAAGAACCGGGTTGCCGGAGAACTTGGTCCATTTCAACAAAAGTGGATCTTTGGGGTCTTCAGGATAGGCAAGGTTTTGGACCTATAAAAGCATAATTATATAATAACATTATCGCTAAATTGTCCGACAAATATTAGATTGAAAATTGTAAATCTGTCTCAAGTAATATAAAAACACTGATGATATAAAATCAAAAACAATGAATCAGAGACTTAGTAAAATAAAAAAGGGATTTTTCAAAATCAATACCTGCACGAATTTGTCGGTGGAACCGGTGTAGAGCATGACAATGGAGCCATCATCGAGGAATGTAGCTGAACCGGTCCAAACACCATTAGCGTCATACCATTGGTCAGGAACCATAGCAAATGGAAGGTAAAGCCAGTGGATAAGATCCTTTGAGACGGCGTGGCCCCAAACAATGTCACCCCACACGGCTGCATTTGGGTTGTATTGATAGAAGAAATGGTACCATCCCTTATAGAACAATGGCCCTGGATAAATTTTTAACATTTCATATTTGTTAGGTTAATAATCAAATTATATATATAGAGACGCATAATGTATTGGAAAACCCTTTAGCTAGTTCATATTAAGAGAAGATCTCGAGTATTTATTCATTAATTAAAATCAATCGATATATCTAAAAAAAGGCTAGCATAGATTTGCTTCACAAATTAATAATTGCGAATTGAATATAGCGCAGCATCTGGAAAGTATGATTGTGCCTTATTATTTACCAATATAATCTAAGTTGTTCTTTGGCCTAGTTTCTTAGAATGGAATGAAAAGTTTGGTAAAATCTATTTTAATTGTTTAATTTCATTGCTGAAATAGTAAGAAAAAAAAACAATCTATGTGTGACAGTGTGAAGGGACCAATTTGATATCATGTCGAACATTAGCATAAAACAATTAAAAAGACGTTTTACTAAATAACTCACCACTATAACGTTTACCTTCGACGTTTCAAATACAGTTGGGTTGCTAGAACGAGTTAATACAGATCACAGAAAGTAGACTTTCAAACACACTAATGGGCAAGCAATAATTTATACAATTAGCGCATGACTCACGTGGTGTATACAAAACAGACAAAACAAAATAAAAAACAAAAAAGGATCATAATTGGCTTTCATGACTTTCTGTTTAGATTTTGTCGTTGTACTTGTTTTTCTGGACCTTTTAGGTGTAAATTAATAAATTGTCTGGCGAAAATATTTTTTTTAATAAATTGTCTCTCACAATATTTCCAGTTTTTTTTTGTTCCATTGACAACCATTGTGGTGCCCAACGACGGGTCGTGTGGTCATATATCTACCAATAATCTGATGGGGGTTTAGATGTATCTACCAATTGTGAAGCCAATAATTTCTTATGATATGTTTTCTATTTTTACTTTCAAATATGAAAAGGACCAAAGAAAATATATATACTGTAAAAAGCACAAAAATGGAAGACATCAATGTAGGATCTAGAGCTTACCATTAGGATCTGTAGACGGAGAAGCCAGAATTTTGCCATTCAAAGACACCAGAGGATAGCGATACAAAGAGCAAAAAAAAAGAAGAAATTATAATAAATTAAAGAAAATACAAATTTAAATAATAAATCTTCTATGTAATATAAGAATGGTTGAAATTTCGCCGGATTTGAATTTAAAAATATTTGATATCATTCTTGCTACATTACTTAAATCTTGCTCTTGAGTTATGGTCTAGCTAATATATAAATCGTTATGAAATTCAAGAATCTCTAGAAAAAAAGAGCAAAATGAATATTCTTTGAGGTTGTTTGGAAAAAAGGGTTTCCACTTTTCAACTATTTTAGCTATATATATAAGAAAATCGATGATGATTAAATTATTTAATCAAATAGTCTTCTTTTTTATTTATTTTTATTCATACCATTCATCCAATTTTTCTCAGGCTGGAAATGAAACGCCGTTCGTTGCCACGACAACATAGTATTGTTCCACGCAAACGCTACCGTTTTCTGATCATCGGAAAACCTCCAAATCCGTTCGTTTCTCTTTTCCGACACTCCTGCCAAACGAGCACGTGACTCCACCACGGTTCCATCTTCATTGGCGCCATTTTTGCTGACGGATCCGTCGTGTGTCACGATGAGAGCAACGTACAAAGCGATCAACAGAAAACCGGAAAAGACGGCGAGATGGATTTTGATGGGTCTTCTCCGGCGGGTCTCCGGGATCGGATCAGATCTTGAATCGGATAATGGATCTTGTTCGGAAGTGACCGGCAAGAGGGACTCGGTGATTGCCATTTCTGTTCTCTTTTAGATTTGATGGTTGTAATAGAATATGACAAGTCCAATTTATATGAGCTAAAAAGAAAAAAAAAGAATTTATAAATATATTGAATCAGGTAGAGCTTAGAGAGAGAACTGGATTGGTTCATATTTACAGACTACAAAGTCATTTAGTCAGTAGTTTATTCAATAATGATTTATTAAAGATAAAATGGGTTTGGGGCCAACTAATTAGACACATTTGTGGGGAGCCACATTTCCGTGTTGTGTTATGGAATTTTCAGAAGGGTAGCACAATATTTTTACCTTTTTTCACTACTATTAAATGTCCTAGGATGTTGTATATAATCTGTTTTTTTTTTTATTCTACCTATTCCAGAAAATATAGTGTTTTAACATTTAGCATTAAATAAAATATATTTAAGAGTGAATATATATAGCATATAATTAATTAAAAATTCTAAAGAACATTAAATCACTTAATTTTCTATTTAATACACTGTATCTATCAAAGATTGATGTGTTTGCATCTTAAGAATTTTACACTATAAATACAAAAGGACATATTTTATGAACTAAATCTTTTAAAAATAATTTGTGTAGATAGCTTTCACACATATGTAGTTAAGAATACACTATAATTTTATATTACATCATTAACTAAGTAATATTGTGATATAAAAATATATGGTGGACTAGAAGAATAAATTTGAAAAAATCAAAATTTTAAAAATAATTATAGAAATCAACATTTGAATGAACAATGCTGATTTTTTTTTTGCACTAATTAACTTTTGGCTAAATTACTATTAAATTGTTTCTTGTTAACACAATCATTTTAAATCATTGATAGGAAAATAATGAAACAATATCTTTTAAACAAAAAATATTCTTGTTAAAAAATTTCTATATGTGTAAGAAAATTCTAAATATATATCAAAATTTGAAAACGAGGGAAGAAGTAGCTATATATAATTCTTTGTATATTGTATATTGTATGTAGAATTATATTTGTTTCATACAATATAATCATTATGCAATTTGAATTATTACGATTACATATAGGAGAGCAACGACACTGATACACACTACTAGATTAGAAGTTTTAGTCAAAACAATTGTATTGAACTACATATTTTAAAAACCACGTTTTAATCAGTTTCTATAAATGGGCCAGCCTCATTATTTGTTTCAACTTTTAATGAGTAGTAGTCATTTAGTTTTTGAACTTTTATTCATGTCAAGCCCTCGGAAGACACCTTAGACACGTTACTTGGATAGAAAAAAGAACACGAGCGAAGGACAGGCCAACCAACTACCTCAACCAGTTGTAGCTTTTTATTATTTCAACCAGAAAACGGTGATGCAAGTAACCATATATCACAATATTCATATAAAACACGTCTGAGAGTTTATTTTATATACATATAAACTTCTGTGTGTATGGCCTGGCCACGTCAAAATTTTCGTTTTGAATTTTAGATATGTAAAGTCTTATCATGATCGTGTCGCAGTCGCGTACACATCTATAAAATAATAAAAACTTCTAATCATGATTAAGATAAATCATCATCAATTTGTTTTTAACTATTAAATATATTTTGCCACGTGAAAAGATCTTCCAAGTATATTATTAGTGTCGATCTCTCATATATAAATGAAAAGACAAGATCTCAAATAATAGAAAAACGACAAGATCCATAAATTGTTGGACGTGGGGAAAACTAGCTCCGATCTAACTTTCTTTTTCTTTCGTCCTTTTGAAAATTATCCAAAGTATGTTATCCATTTAGGAATGGGTTCTCCGACCCATTCCGTATCTTCCTGAATTTTCCTTTCCATATATGTTTTTGTTAAAATATTTCATTTATATCAGCTTAACTTATTCCAACATGTCTCGGAAAAAAATCAGTATGAAACTTGATATTCTAAATATCCGTTCAGATGTTAGATATATAAATTTTAAAATTATAAAGATATCCGAGATTAGCTAGAATAGAGAGAGTGATTTTAGCTTAATTGTTTTTCCGAATCTGACTTGTTATTCAAGCTTCATATCTCATAGTTTATTATACTCGACCCATATACATCGTTTTTTGATTAACGAGTGGCTATACTTTAATTTTTAAAGGCAATTAATATAGTTGAGAGATGAGAAGACATCGCTGAGTTATGTTTTGGTTTCACCAATCAAAGATAAACAAGTCAGGAAAGTATTGTCTAGATTCTCTCGTGGGGAAAAGTGAGAATGTTTCAAAAAGACCAATAGACACAAATCTATTATTGGACGTTTTGATAAAACTCAAAAAGACCTTAACAAAAAGAAAATATTGTTACAAGCCTCGCTATGTTCATAAATCATACTGAATAAAATATTATAATAGTGTCCTTGTAAATTGTAAAATATCAGTTAACATAATGTCCTTGCCACATTAGCCGTGCCTATGTAAAGAAACTAGAAGTTTGGCCTAGGGTTTTTTTTTTTTTAAGAGAATTATGCTTAAATTTTTATGATTATAGTAATTTTAGAGTCAAATCTATAAACATAATGTTTTTAGAGACTTTAAAAATATAAAATATTATTAAAAATAAAGATATTGTAAAAAATCAGATAACTAATCAATTGATTTTCTTCGCACATATCATATTTACAACCATTTTATTTAATACGTTAATTTTTTTTTAACAACAAAACATAACACTTGCACTAATTTATTTTTAGTCAAAAATATACATTAAATTTTTGTAGTTTTATATTTAGTTGGAATAACGATAGTTATTATTTTAGTAAAAATAATTTTTCTATATACTGTTTAGGGTCTCCACAACAACTATGAACAATACTCTGGAGTCCACATATAGTACTAATATAATACTTTTATACAGACTCTGCAGCTCATATTTTAGTAAAAAATATGGAAGAGTCTGTTAAATCGTATTTTTTTCTCTAGTTGTATTTATCCACCATTTTGGTTGACAAACAGATTGTACTACATAGTAAATTCAATTTAATATAAATTTGTTTGCCAGAAAAAAAATTAGTTAACATAATACACGATATTATAATATCATCCAAATAAAATAAATTAACTAAATGCAATCGCTCTTCTAATTCGAGATTCGATGTATATCATTACTATATGAATTTTAAAATTCGTACGTGGCAATATATAATATTAGACATTAAACACCAATTAAGCTGTTGAAAAAATAAAAATGGCCAATTAAGCTTGGTACAGCAGTGACCTACGATTTGACATGGATCTGACTCAGACGAATACTTTTTATTCAACATTTCTTGTATACATCGAAGAATAACTTCGATTTTCTTTTTAAATAATGACCCAACAGGAGAAAGTCATATAAGAGGCAAGAAAACAAAGAATACATTTTTTCTCTTTAAGATATTTTTCTAAAATATTTTTTTTATATATATTTTTACGTTCAGTAAGTTCGTGATGGTGATTTCTTACGTACAATTATTTAATAAAAACTCATATAACAAAAAAGTAAATTAAAATACTCATTATATTTATCATGTTTAGAAAAAAGTTCTATCACAGATCCAAAGGACTAGATCACCATAGGCATTTAAACGTAATGTGCTAATGGGCTAATCGTCATATGTTGTGGTTTCTGGGTTCTCTATAAAACGAAAAGGTGCATCTAAAAACACAAAGATAGAATTGTAGCTTGAGACCATGTAACTGTCGACGGGTGATATATATGTACCTGAAGATAACAAAAGGGGCTGGGAACTTATTTAACAATGTGACTACAGAGGTCGCAAATGCACTTTTGTTGAAAGTGGACAATTTCAGAACCCACCAGAAATTGGAAATGTAGTGGTATATATATATCGAGTAGCCATTTCAAATAGAAACGTTTACCAAATGTCGGCATGACATATTTATTCTGAAATGTATAACTAGTTAGTGAGAAATCCACACTGTAACGTTTCCGTTTCCTTAGGTAATCCTCATATGAACGATAAATGACTGTAACGTCATTTAAAACTGATTTAGTTCTGCTTGATTATTTTCTAAAATGCATGTCCTATCTTTAGAATATTAGAGAAAGATCCTCGGATCTTGTTCAAATGATATTTAGAGTGACATCTATAAAAAAAAACCACATGTTTTCATTTGGATTTGAAAATCCGAATGTTATGGTATTAAGACCATCCACTCATCCACTTCTCGGCTTTTCATAGTAATCATGTGTTTTCCACAATGTGGTAAACTACTTATAAATAATTTATTTATTAGATATAATATAAAATCTTCACATGAAGCGGAAACATCTTATTGGCTATTATTGGACAATATTATTTAAAACACACCACGGCAACAATTGTAAGACATTATGGAAAGAAAATAAAAAGGACATTTTAAAGGAATACAACAACGGAAGGTGCTCTTATTTTGCATCATCAAAGAAAACATAAACCATAAACACACTTAACTCTAGAATTTCAAACCAGAACCTTGGAGTTTCTCTTGGATGATCATGTCAATCTTGTTCTCCATTTCGGGAGTAAGATAATTCTTCCAGTCACCGACTTCGCCTTTACGGAAAAAAACCTTGTGATTTATGTTGTTTATTTTCCCAGTTTTGTTAACCTCCAAACCGCTCAGATTTCGCAGAGAGCAAAGATCCAAGATCTCGTCCAAACATCCATTCTCTTCTTCTTCCTTAGTAAAAGGACAATCCAAGAAGTCTGCAAGTCTCTTGATCTGGTCACGAGGCTTCCCTTTCATCTCCTCATACCTCATGAAAAGTACATGCTTAGGGTCTTCCAAGCTTCCTCTCCAATAGCTTAAGAGATGTTCCCAAAATGGTCCATAATAGATTGTTCCATTGCAGAACGATTCGAACATAGACTCGAGAATGCTTCTATCTGGTTCTATTTTATTAACTGCGCACCCGAAAAACCACCACGAGATAATTGTGTCTTTCACGTTTCTGCACACGTACACAATCTTGCAAGGAGAATTCTTGAGGTTCTCGTGTAGCGTGTTCAGCGGCATGTGAGTTGAGAACAGCCTTGGAACTGATGAGAACTTGGCCAGGTCAGGACTTGAGCTTTCGTGATAGATATCTATCTCCAAGAATGGTACAATACCATGAGGATTATCCGATAGTAGAGGATGATGATCATCAGAAGAATTGTTCTTTGATCTCTCGAGCAGTGCGACTGTGAGGGCCTTGAGCCAAGTGGCGCCTGACTTGGGGTAAGAAGCAAGAATTATATCAGTGTCTTGCGGTTGAAAACCTCGCTGGAAATTAAGAACGCTTTGGAGAGTGTTGTAGTAATACCAACATCCTTGAAACCTACACATCTTGTTCCCATGGGAATCTGTGTGTGAAGGAAGAGAAGAGATCAAAGTCTTGGTTTCTTCGCTTATCTTGTCGTCTCTTACGTTGACCGGAAGCTCCTCTTTCAGATCCATTTGTTTTGTTGGTCCTTGTTACCAAAATATGTGTTTAGGCTTCAAACGAAAACGTATATATATATATATTAAGCCAAGATACTAAGAAAATAATACATTGCTGCTAATAAAAACAAACCTAATTTAAATTGCGGTTAAGTAGAAAACAAACCTAATTAAAATGGCTGTTAAGTAAAACACAAACCTAATTTAAATTGTTGTTAAGAAAAAAACAAACCTAGTTATGATTGCTGTTAGAAAAACACAAAACCTAATTTAAATTGATGTTAAGAGAAAAACAAACCTAATTAAAGTCTTCTGACGCTTAACTCATTAGGCGATGCTGCGGGTTTTCTTAGATTTAGTATAGCTTGAGCATTCGTTTCTTAACAACAATTGCATGCTTCATGATTCATCTCTAGAATATTAGTGAATTAATGACTCTTGAATCTTGCTTAAATGGTGCTTAGAGTATTATCTATAAGAAAGTAACTAGGTTTGGATACCGGGTATATCAGAAGGATATGGTTTTCTTATTAACACAGTTTCAAAACATGCACGTGGACTACGTAGGCGTAATGATGTCGCACGTATTAATTTCTTGCAGAGGTGTGCGTGAAGTTCTCATCACATATCATTTTTGTACAACGTGCGCTAGTTCTTCATGCGCTTAATATTATGATCTTCACATTCACTTGATAGACTGATGCGAAATTTGACTTTCCGTAAGATCCTCTACGAGTCTACGGTCTACATGTCACACTACGATTGGCAGATGCTTTACACTATATATATATATATATATATACTCAAATATAAAATCATGTTATAAATGTAAATTGTTTTGAAAATAAACAAAAATTCAATACATAATATTAAGTAACTCCACTGAAAATAAAAATCATAACAGTCAAACTCAAAATTAAAGATCTATCAAACGCTTCATATAAAAAGTGATCTTAGCTTTCCACAGTTCGATTAATGTTCGGAAAGTGAAAAAAATAGGATTTGATTAATCTATTAACATAATCAAACGAATATGATGAAATGATTGGAAGTTTAGAATTACCTTGCTATTCTTCTAGAGTTCTAGGTCATGTTGTAGAACCTCAAAAGAAAGAAAACTAGTTTAAAATTAAGGATTCATGTTCTTTCACAATAATTTGTTACACTTAAGGATTCATATTTTTCACAATAATCCCATGAGTGTATGGTCTACATCTCACATTACGATTGGTGGATACCTAATAGCTGAAAGTTATTTTCCAACACAAAATATCGTTTATGTGACACTAAAACAAATAACTTATTCTAAATCTTAGTTTTCGATTTTAGTTATGATAATTTTAAGTTTTAGCTATACAAATCTTATTATATGCATATATAATTTGTAACTTTTATAAGCTTTTGTATATATTGAACTACTTTGATATTATGTATTTCTATAAATATTTTTTATTGGATATAATTTAATTTTCTCACGAGGCAAATAACAATCAACACCTAGTAATATTAATCTTAATTAAAACACATCAAACAATAATTAAGGGACATTCTGGTAAAAAAAAAGAACAAAGGGACATTTTGTATAATCGAAGAAAACACAAACCTTATACATACGTCACTAGAATTTCAAACCAGAACCTTGGAGTTTCTCTTGGATGATCATGTCTATCTTGTTCTCCATTTCGGGAGTAAGATAATTCTTCCAGTCACCGACTTCGCCTTTACGGAAAAAAATCTTGTTATCCCAGTTGTAGCTTTTACCAGTTTTGTTAATCTCCAAACCGCTTAAATTACGCAGAGAGCAAAGGTCCAAGACCTCGTCCACACATCCATTCTCTTTTTCTTCCTTAGTAAAAGGGCAACCCAAGAAATCCGCAAGTCTCTTGATCTGATCATGAGGCTCCGCTTTCATTTCCTCATACCTCATGAAGAGGACGCGCTGATATTTAGAGTGACATCTATAAAAAAAACCACATGTTTGAATGGATTTGAAAATCCGAATGTTTGGTATTAAGACCATCCACAGATCCACTAATCCCACTTCTCGCGCGGCTTTTCATAGTAACCATGTGTATTACCACCATGAGACCAATGTGTCCTTTACGTTCCTGCACACGTACACAATCTTGCAAGGAGAGTCCTTGAGGGTCTCGTGCATCGCGTCCAGTGGCATGTGAGTCGAGAACAGCCTCGGAACTGATGAGTACTTGGTCAGGTCAGGACTCGAGCTTTCAATATATAAACCGAGCTCAAAGTATGGTACAATCCTCTGAGGATTATGAGATAGTAGAGGATGATGATCAGAGGAATGGTTCTTTGATCTCTCGAGGAGGGCGACTGTGAGGGCCTTGAGCCAAGTGGTGCCTGATTTGGGGTAGGAAGCAAGGATTATATCCGTGTCTTGCGGTTGAAAACCTCGCTGGAAATTAAGAACGCCTTGGAGAGTGTTGTAGTAATACCAACATCCTTGAAACCTACACATCTTGTTCCCATGGGAATCTGTGTGTGAAGGAAGAGAAGAGATCAAACTCTTGGTTTCTTCGCTTATCTTGTCGTCTCTTACGTTGACCGGAAGCTTCTCTTTCAGATCCATTTGTTTTGTTGGTCCTTGTTACCAAAATATGTGTTTAAGCTTCAAACGAAAACGTATATATATATATATATATATATATATATATATATATATATATATATAAGCCAAGATACTAAAAAAATAATATTTTGCTGCTAATAAAAACATTGCGGTTAAGTAAAAACAAACCTAATTAAAATTGCTGTTAAGTAAAAAAAAACTAATTAAAAATTGTTGTTAAGAAAAAAAAAACTTAGTTAAGATTGCTGTTTGCCAAAAAAAAAAAAAAACAAAACCTAATTTAAATTGCTGTTAAGAGAAAAACAAACCTAATTAAAGTCTTCTGACGCTTAACTCATTAGGCGATGCTGCGGTTGCTCTTAGATTTAATTATATAGTGTAGCTTGAGCATTCATTTCTTAACAAGAATTGCATGCTTCATGATTTCATCTCTAGAATATTAGTGAATATCTCTTGAATCTTGCTTAAATGGTGCTTAGAGTAATATCTATACGAAAGTAACTAGGTTTGGATACCGGGTATCAGAAGGATATGGTATTAATACCATTTACTTCGAAGTAATTCTAGGTGTTTTGTAGAATTCCACATGTATAGTAGCTGGTTTTCCTATCAGCACAGTTTCAAAACATGCACATGGACTACGTATGTAGGCGTAATGATGTCGCAAGTATTATTTTCTTGCAGAGGTTTGCGTGAAGTTTGTCATTGTTTTTGTACAAGGTGCGCTAGTCCTTCATGCGCTTAGTCGATTTCGAGCTTCACTTGATAGACATGCGAAAATTGACTTTCCGTAAGATCCTCTACGAGTCTACGGTCTACATGTCACACTACGATTGGCAAATACTTTACAGCTATATATATATATATACTCAAAATATAAAATCATATTATAAAAGTAAATGTTAAAAAAAAAAAAAATTCAATACATAACATTAATTGTAAAGTATTAAACGCTTCATATAAAAAGTGATCGTTAATATATATATATATATATATATATATATATAAAGCTTTCCAGAGTACGATTAGTGTTCGGAAAGTGAAAGAATAGGATTTGAATAATCTATGAACATAATCAAACGAATATGATGAAATGATTGGAAGTTTAGAATTACCTTGCTATTCTTCTAGAGTTCTAGGTCATGTTGTAGAACCTCACAAGAAAGAAGAACTGGTTCACAATTAAGGATTCATATTCTTTCAAAATAATTTGTTACAATTAAGGATTCATATTCTTTTCACAATAATCCTATGAGTGTATGGTCTACATCTCACATTATGATTGGTGGATATCAAATAGCTGATCTGCTCAAAGTTTAATTCCTAGAGCTACTCTGCAAGAACACAGATGTGCAATTGTAGTATGTAGGGGTCGAACCACAGAGACGAGAGATTCGCTCAATAAACCTATTAGGAATTGAATTACGCTAAGCAGATTAATGAGAAGCAAATAGCGATGCAAATAAAGATAAACGAATGCAGTAAAAACGTTTGTAAAGTTCAGATGGGTGGAGATTAGGTCTAGGGCGTTTCTCAGGAAATCAATGAATGCAGATCAATCGATTAATCAGGGTTCAGGTTTAAGCACGGTTCTTGAACTCGAATCACAAAATTATAATTAACCAACTTCCGTTGTGAGAATTATCTGAGTTAAAATCCTATAATTCCAAATTCCTTTGCAAATCCTACAGATTTAAACCAGCTTTAATGCACAAGTCGATATGTTCACAGAGTATCTAAACCAAATTCCTTTGCGAATAGCTACTTTGCTCACCCTAGGTTCTTTCCAGTTATTCAATTACATTTCCGTGTCAATCAATTAACCTAAGATCTAAGTTCTAGGTGGCCAGTCCAGAATTAGCTTTAAGAACAACCTATGGTAAAGAACTAAATAGATTATGAACCCTAACTCAATCAATTAATCAAACATCCAATGAAATCCTTTATGAGAACCCTAAACCTAACAAGCAAACTACTCAGTCATGAAGATTGAAGCAATAAACATGATAGAATAGATTGCAGTAAGCAGTAAATAGATTAATAAACAGGGGTTCGAAATCTTCTCTCTCCGGAACAGAGTTTCAGACTTGTCTCCCCAAAGCTCTCAAAAACAAAAGTCCTCTCTAAGAAAATCTAAGGTATCGATATAAGGTGGCTAAAAACCCTATTTATAACTTAAAAACACGTTTTGGGCTTCCTTGTAATTATTGGAGACTTTTGGGCCTAACTCTTTCTTCAAACAGGAAACAAAATCACGTTTTCCTTATTTCTGCAACAAGTGTCGAGCGTCACTCTCCATGGTGTCGAGCGACACTAAAGCACAAAATCCATACTTGACGAATTTGATCCTGATTAAGCTCCAAAGTGCTCCAAAATCTCCAGTTAAGCTCCAAACGTACCTATGACCTGTAAAGACTCCAAAAGACTCGAAAAACACTAGAAAGACTCTATAAATAAG